AAAAAAAAAAAAAAAGAAAAGAAACAAGTCTCCAGTATCCAGCTCAGAGGGACGGGGCTGAGGCACCAGCCTCCAACCCAGGACCGATGGCCGTCCTCCACCAACTGCCTGACCTAAGCAGCCAGGACAGAAATGCTCACCTACCCCAAGGCCACACATGTCCCTTGTCGTCACCCGTGTCTCCTGACATCACCCACTTCCTCTGCTGTCACTAGCACCAACAGCCCCCTCCACAAACATAGCCCTGAGAAAGGGCCAGTCCACGAGGTTCGGAAGTTCCAGTGAGAGACTTCCCCAGGCGCCCCAGCACCCTCCCCACTTGTCTTACTCAGTCCACACCCTGCGTGAGCACAGCGAGGGCCACTCAGAAAAGCAGACTTGGGAGCAAGGGCCTCGTGTGACACAACAAGCCATTTGCTAAATTAAAACTGGACCAAGAACACAACGCTTAGTCTGAAATTTTGAGAATGCGACACCTTCTACAGCACATCGCTGAAGCTGCTGGGCTCCTGTCTGAGCCAAGGCAGGGGCTTTAACGTGGGGCTCCAGGGCGTCGGGACAGGGAAAGAGGGAAAAGCACTACGCATGCAGAATGACATTTGCTGATCATACATACTTCTGTGATCTGGACATTTTTCTCCATTTCTGATTGTAACTTCTCCTTCAGCTCAGCTGCAAGAAAAACAAACAGTCGCTCAGATCACTGCATCTCAGACTTTTCCACCATCTCATCAACCCATAGGAGATGAGAGAGCTCCTGACGCCAACTGCCACTCCACGAAAGCACCTGCCAGTGTCAACGGGACCACAGGACACACCTGTGAGGGAGCAAGAGCGAGATGAGGTCTGCTTTAGTTAACAAATTATACTCCTGGCCACACCCAGGACAGCGGGACTCTCAGCCAGCAGGGCACACTGGGACGGCGGCAAAGGCCAGCTTTGGGGCTGCCCAGGTCACTGAGCACCTTACAGCTGCCGCTTCCTCGTGGGACCCCAGCCTGTCCGCTCCACACCGGGCCAGGTTCCTGATAAGGAGCCGGCACACAGGAAAACCAAGACGGGGAAAGATGTTCTAGGGCCCGACAGCCCCCAGCCCCGGGGGGGAGCAGCACAAGGGGAGAGGCCCAGGGGCTGGGGGCGAAGGAGCAGGATGCGGCTGGTCCAGGCATGTGGGCAGCAGAGTGTGGCCTGAGAGGGGGGTGCACACCTGGAGACCAGGGTGCCAGGCGGACATGGCAGGAGCATTGAGAAAGGGCCAGGGTGAAGCTGGGAAGATGTGGCACCGGGAGGCAGCTGACACCACACGTGTGGTAAGGGCATCCTGAGCAACTTAAGGCCAAGGGCCACTTGCCACCCTGAGGACAGGGCCAGCCCCAGCCAAGCCTCAAGGAGCAGAGGGCAGGTGTGGGCCTCCAGGGACCTGATCTCAGATGCGCCTGGAGGAAAAAGCATTGGAAGAGGCCTGGCAGACCATGTTTTGTATTTTAAAAAACAAACAATGACGTTATTTGCATTTGCTTAAACCCACATGAAGGCATGTGGGATAGCACAAGGACCTGGGAGGCGTTCTCCGGTGGGGGTGGGAGGGGCCCACGGATAAGGAGCAGGGCCTCTCACCAGCCAGGGCCCACCCGCAAAGGAGAGCCCCTCCAGCGGGCAGATGAGCACATGCTCATGCCAGCAGGAAAGCGGGTGACTGCTAACAGGCCCGGGCTGCCTTTTGGGATGACGAGCACTCTGAGCTCCGCTGTGTGATATCGGCACAAGGCTGTGACACACGCGATGCCACTCGAGTGGGAACTGTACATGGGTGAACTGCTGCTCGGTGGCTTTAGGGTTTAAAAAACTGGTGTTTACAAATACTAGTGAGCACGTTCACAAAAAGTATACAAAACACATTAAAATGAAAACATGATATATATCTTAAGACGCAAAGAGCTCAGTGTTGGCCAGAGAATCAGGGGACAGGAGTGCTGTAGCCCCACTGGGCACAGGGTAAGGAGCCTCTGCGACACGGAGTTGTGTCCACGAGCATCCAGGTCGGCCAGACATGGTCCTGCTAAAGGTGCAGACACAGAAACCTGCAGCACGAGAGCAAACCACCTCCGACAACATCATTTTGAAGTTAACACAAGCCCACGGGACACATGGATGAAAGGGGAGGGGACAGCAGAGCAAGACAAGGACATGCAGAGCCCGCCACCAGAAGGACCAGGGGCCAATGCCGGGGGTGCTTGCCCCGTGGAACTCGCCACACAGCTTCGCGTGGGCACAGAGACCCGTGTGGAAACGCCTCGCCCGGGGCACCTCTGTGGCCACCTGCTCCCCCACTGTGTCTCCAACTGGCCAGCAGGCGCGTACCTGTCTCCCAGTGGCATCGCCGCGCCAGCTCCTCCAGCTGCAGCTGCTGCCTGCTGTGCAGCAAGGCCAGCTCCTGCGCGTGCCGGCTATTGAGCGTGTCCCGCAGCTCGGCCAGCGCACTGTCCTTCTCCCGCTGCAGGTGCGTCTGTGCCAGCTCCAACCGCGCTGCGTGCATGTTGCTCAGGCTCAGGCGCAGCGCCTCCAGCTCCAGGGCGGCCACCGGCTGTGGGGACACATGAGCTGGGGTGACTTCCTGTCCCACAGCGCGGCCGCATGTGGACTGGGATGAGCAGCTAACAGGGAACAGGCTGACTGTGCAGGGAGGGTCCCTGGCACGTGGCCCAAACTGTGGCCAGCTGATGTCCACGTTGTCCTTCCCTCTCAAAGGCCCCACACAAGACGTGAAAACAAAACCAGGCGGGAAAGCAGACCCAGCCAGCCTACCCTGCACGCCCGTCCACTCTATGACAAACCTCTCCCACCTGCCACCCCCCGATTCCAAACCCACAGGCCCAGGTATGAATCGTGAGCGCCCGGGTCACCTGGGCCGGCAGCTGCCCCTGCTGCTCCTCTGACAGAGGCGGATGCCCCCCCATCGCCTGTTGCTGCCCACTAGCCTCGCCCTCCGGTCGGCCCATCGGCTCAGCACCTGCAGACGCACACACCCGTTCACACTCCTGGGGAAGGAAGGCAAGACACATGACTCAGAGAATTCAGCCCCTGAAAATAATGACCGTACATCCTCCCAGAGGTGAGTCCATGAGTGTTCACAGCAGCATTACTCCCAGTCGCTAAAGGTGGAAGCAACCGAAGTGTCCGCCGACAGGTGAGCGGAAAGCAAATGGGGTGTAGTGACCTTCTGACCCATACAACACCGATAAACCGCAAAACACAGTTCTCAGACACACTGACAGCTCCATCTGCATGAACCGTCCAGAACAGGCAAATCCACAGACAGAAAGTAGACTGGTGGCTGCCATGGTTTAGTGACTGCCGATGGGGACGGTTTCCTTTTGGGATGATGCAAACACCTTAGAATTAGTTGTGATGGCTGCACAAGCTCACGACCATCCTAAAGCCACTTAAGTGCACACTGAGTGGTGGTGCATTCTTTTCTGTGAATTATGTTCTAATGACTACTGAAGGACGTGCGGCCTGTTTGAGGGGTTCAGTGTGAAGTCGGAAGCCCAGACATAGGCCAGCGGAGCCTGTCTGCCCCCCAGTCACTGCGGCAGGATCTAGGACATCAGGGAGGGCTGACAGCAAACCACCCCCCACCCCTGCACACTCTGGGTACAAGACCGCTGCACACAGTGGACTCTGTCACTCCCGCGGAAGGTCAGGACATGACAGCCATGCTCAGAGTGTGGAAGGCGACCTTCTCTCCTCAACGTCCAGGAGAAAAGACCAAAGGTCACAGGGAGGGCCGCCCTGGGCTTACTCAGAGCGTCTGGAGAGAGAGAGAGAGACCTTCCACGCAGGGCCACTCCCCCGCCAGCCACCTGTGCGCCCAGTTTCCACGCCAAGAGCGACGGGGCCCTTTAGGGACTGAACTCTCTCTGTGATTTGGACGAACTGCTTTGACGAGGAGCGCCCTGAACAGCAGAACCCTCAAGAATACCTCTGTGAGCACCCCGGGCTGCTCCAGGCGGTCGGTATCCAGCTTCTGTAGCCGCACTGGGTCCTCTGTCCTCGCTTCAGCACAGTCCTCCACCTGTGACAGGAAGGGCGGGAGGCCAGTCACAGCAGCGCCCGGCCTGCAGCCTCACCCCGGCCCTGCACCTGCGCAATCTACCCTGTTTTCCTCCAATTCCCATACTCACGGTCTCCACGCGGCTCACTGGCCTAGCGCGGCCGCTGCCCACCTGTTCGCGAACTCGGCTTCTTTGGCGTGCCTGTGAGCTGTGCACCTAAGCTACTCAATTCAGTCTCGCAACGAACGCTAGTCATTGAGACCCACACGCGTTTTCCAAGCTCTTACTTTCATAAGTTCGAATATTTTATCTTCAAGATTTTCTTTTACATATATTTTTCCTTAATAATTTGTAGAAATGGTATTTTTAGTTTCTTACTATAAATGATCTCAAACTTTAAAGTTTTCAAATGAATTTTCTACCAATGGTTTCCTGAAATGGAAATTCACAATAATTTAGGCTTTCAACCTGTTGTGCCAGCTGAGCTGAGGACAGCTGTCTGCAAAGCTGGGTGGGCCCAGGGGACTGCACTGGCCGTGTGCAGCCAGGGACGCTTCCACGCCCACGTGTCGCTCACACCCTCATGGCCGTTCACTCTGCGTCACTAACTCTGGGCCAAGGCCTGCTGAACCCGACTGCAGTCAAGTTTCTTTTCTGGGCAGTTATGTCTACTCAAGGGGACTGACATTTTACAATTTTATTCTCTTACAGGTCTTCCAAAGAACAATGAAAAACTTCACCTATTCTTTTAAAAATAAAAACATTTTGCAGTGAAGCAACGTCCTCCACAACTAGACTGAAGAACAAAAACAACAGCAACTTGTCTATTCCCCTTCCCCCAATTCCCCAGCACTGTTCCCATCCCCCCAATTCCCCAATAAAAAATCTTAAAAAAAAAACAACAAAAAAACATTTTGGGCCGGCCAAGTGGCTCAGTTGGTTAAGAGCTCACTCAAGAGCTTGAGCTCTGAGCAACA